TTTAAATTATTGTAAAACAAAATTGTTGTAAAGTATGAGGAATTATTTTGTATTATAATATGAGTAATTTAGATAACTTTAAAATAATGAACGACAATGATACATGTTAGAATTTATCTAGAATCTTGAAAAACAATTGGAAACGGTCTATTGTAAAGTCATTGGTCCTTGGCTATCGGATTTGATTCCAAACTTATAAAAGACTTGATTTTGATCTTATATCATTCCTTGATAAATATTTGATGTTCATGGAGTCGGGTTTTATAAAATATCTTTTACATATTTGAGTAAATAAGTTATTAATAGTATAAAATTAAAATAGGCGACCAAATTATCCAATAGATAACCATTATTAACAAGGAACCAAAGAACCAATGAACCAATCGTGAACGTCGAAAATCATAATGATCAACGGTCATAGGAATTGATGTACACTTGTACATTAGACGTACATACAGTGACGGAGGCAGTAGGGGGCTAGCCGGTGCTTAGCCCCCTCAAACTTGTCTACTTATAATATTTTTGTTATGGTTTTTTGTTTGATCGCTTTTCTTTTTGGGATTCATATGCAATTTGGGCTATTACATACTTTCTCTTTGTTAGGTGTATCCATCCAATTACATAGCATTAATCTAATCCTTAGATATCGTTTGACCAAGAAGATTTTAGAAGAAATAGTTTTTCTAAGTTACGTATACACAGTTGGCAAGAGATAAAATAGGAGAAATGATCGCAACCAAGAGATAAAAAGAATTGAAAAAGTTGCAAAAGTTAGAAGTTAAAAAGACGAAAATTCAAAGAAAACGAGTTGTCTTCCCGCTCCCACCGTATTCTCGGATGAATCGCCTCACCCAACCCATCGTTGTCATTGCGTCGCCACCATTTTCCTCTTCTCGCCATCAGCCTCCATCCCGGAAAGACCATCGTCGGTCTCCTTCATGTCTCTCTCTTGAGAAAGTTAGTTGTAGAGTGAGCTCCATATCTCTCTTTCTCCATTTGAGGTAAAAATGAAAGCACATTTTGCTGTAAATATTCGTGAATGATGGTTATAGTTTTTGATATATGTGATGCTTATAGTCCTATCATCATTTTTTGATATGTAAGCTCTAAAACCATTTTTTTTATATCTGAGCCCTATATGTGTTTATGTGTTGCTGTTTCAGATGATGATTTTATTTTATTTTAATTATTTTTATTAAAAAATTGTATAGATTGTCATTTTATTTCAAGATAGGTTGTTTTGTAAATCAACTTTGCATCCTTAATTTAATTTAATCATTACTTTTATACCTAAATTATATTTAGTTTTACAAGATATTTATATAAAATTTTATTTCATCATAATTATATTGTGCAAAATCTATTTTGCCGTATTTGAACAATCGTTAGGATACATTATCGTTGGCATACATATTACTATTTAGATACATTGTTTAAATGGGAAACATTCACTTGCTTACATCGACACAAACAAAATCAATATTTTCCATTATGCTTAAAATTAAAGATAACAACCAACAAATTATTAACATGCCTGTTATTACGATTGTGATGTAAGCACTCCTTATTCTTAATTCACTTATTCTTAATTATTAACAAAATCAATGTAAGCCCCCTTTATTCTTAATTCATGGTTTCGCCCTTCCGTACATACACCAGATTATACCATAAACATATCTCTTTGCCAAAAAACTCACATTTTTTTTTGTTTAATTTTTTAAGCCATGTCTTTTATCGAAAAAAACCTGAATATACCATTGTTCACGATTTTTCGTCACATAAGATCAATGTTGATATATAAAAAACAAATTTTTTTTTGAAAAAACCCACTTTGTTTTGTTTTTTTTTTCAATATTTAAGTTTATGTTTATAAAAAAAACTAATTATAATAACAATCTCAATATTTTGTCATCTATCAATAAACATCAACATCGATTAAAAAAAAACTCGATCAGTTTAGATTCACACTGTGAATCTAAACTGTAAATATTTCAATTTTAACATTCACAATGTGAATCTGACTTACGATTTCAACTTTTTGATCATTCACAAATTAAGAGAAATTAACATATGAATCGAAATATATTTCCATGCAGTTTTATAATATTTTAACATTTGATTACTCGTAAATTAGTTTTGTAAAATTAACAAATGGATTTATTCATATTGTGAATCTGAACTATATACAATTTAGTTGTCAGAATTTATAATGTGAATCTGACTTACTATTATTCACTCTGTGAATCCGTGAATTCGAACAGATTAACAATGTGAATCTGAACTGGAATTTCGGTGTTTTTTTAAACATCAATATGAATCTATGTTTAAAGAGTACCAAAAAATATGAATTTTGATATTTTTTTTTATTTTTTTTTCGATAAAAAATAGACTTTAACTTTTTAAAAAATAAAGAAAATAAAGTGGATTTTTTTTGAAAAAAAAAAGTTCATTTTTTATATATCAATATAGATTTTTATGAAAAGAGGACGGAAAATCATAAACAATGGTATATTCGGTTTTTTTTTTCGATAAAAAATATGGCCTAAAAAAACTAAAAAAAAGAAGTGTATTTGTTATAATCTGGTGCATTTGCGTTCAGTGTAAATAAAATGAGTAATTTTTGAAATAGTCCCGACAACTATTTCTCTATCTCATTTTAGTCCTTATTTTTTTTGGTTCGCATATCATAGCTTTTTGTTTACATGTTCTTAGTTATTATTATTTGCTATTGTCTTTTTTGTTCAGTTTTATTCCTTACTATCGGCTATCCATTTCCCAATACATCAATTTTAGCTCTTGAAGTACAACGTCATCCTCATCGACCTAAATAAGCAACAACAATAAAAACTTAATTTCAATGCAACTATCCACATTGATATGATTGTGGGAGAAAAGGAACATTTTAGATAGTTAGTTACAGTGAAGAAAGTTGAAGTTTTAATGATGTCCTAATTGAATGGTAACGTCGTCTTTTTATGTTTTTCATAAAATTTGTTAATTTCTTACAAACTATGTAAGATCCAAAGAAGAAATGCAAGTTCTTTCATTGGATTGATCCTGAACTTCCAAATGTGCTATTTGAAGCTAGAAGTTATACAAAACAAGATTAATTTAAACAAAACTAAGGTTGACAATGTGGATAAAGAAATGGTTGTGCACACTTACAAGACTAATATTAATCCTCAAAAATAAAAAAGGGATTTAGAAGGAATTACGTTTAAAAGAATTAGTAGTAGATGGATTGTATTTGGCAGCGTGATTGTAATGATGTTCATTTACTTGTTTACTAGTTGTGAGACCCGTATACTATACGAGTTGATTAAAATAAAATATTAAATAGAAACGATTAAATGGGAAGTTTATTTGAATTTGAAATATGAAATAAGAACATCCACAATGGTGAGTTCAATGAAAAAGCTGAATGAGGTGGCAATCATATGTGTCATTCAATGGATGAACATCTACCATTGTGAGATGCTACTTTGACATTCAATGAATTTAGAGTTCAGTGGTCATTGAACTCTTCAATGAAAAAAAAGGAAAGTTTTTAATTCTTAAATATATACTATAAATTATATTTTGTAATATTCTATTGAACTTTGTAGAGTTCAATGCATTATAAGAAAAAAAAATAATAGATTTGTTTGGATTGTAGAAAAATGATGTGGCAATCCATCGAACTTTATGGAGTTCAATGCATTGTGGATACCTTAAGTGAAAATTATGAGAAATAAAAATCATGCGAGAAATAAATAAATTAAATTATGTGTTTAGTTGTCATACTTGTATACTAAACAGGTTAATTATAACAAAATGTTAAATACAAAGGTTTAAACTGGAAATTTATTTAAAATTTAAATTTAAATTTAAATTTTAAAATTTAAAATTAATATTCATTATGGTAGGTTTAATTTATGGAAACTAAACAATGATATATTGGAAAATAAAAAATGAAGTAATGACAAATGAAAAATAAATATATCTCAAAATTATGACAAATTGACATGTGACCAATTGAATGAGATAACGACATGTGACATAATTATTCTTATTTATTATGATAGATTTATTATTACGATAGATATAAACAGTTTATTTAAAGATGTTTGATCGTAATATAACATGTTGTTTTGGATCCAGTTTTCCATTAGGTTTATACAAAAGTACAATTTTGAATAAGTCTTAAATGGCAACACACTACCATAAGTTAAAAAGGGTGATATATTACATCATAAAGATCCAATTCATTAATTACCATAAGTCACAAAAATTATAAGTTTGAAAAGTATGGCATATTACACAAACATATTCATCATCATTCTAAAGTTAAGATTGTAGGGTCTACCTAGGTTAGGATGTTGGAAAAAAACACATTCGTAAAGTACGTCAATTGTTAACGACTATGAATCGCTAGCTACCAATGTCGGTGGAAGTTGTCATCCTACATGCATCAAACCTTACGGTTAAGATTAACACTTCAAATTCCAACATTATACAAAATTGAAGTAGTATATACCTTAATCGATTTCATTTAGAGTGAAGTTTTTGGACGAAAAAGTATGGCTTTCCCACAAAAACGATGTTGCAAGACTTAGATGACCATATAAGAACGTTTTAAGAATATGGAAGACTTTAAAAATATGAATAAAGACGAACGTATGACAAATGCAACACATGGTTTCCATATCGTTAATGTTTTGTCTTAAATTGTAATGTTACCGTGAAACTAATACCAACCAAAGTGGACAATTATTTTTTAACTAAAAAATAAAAATAAAAGACTGAAATTGGAATAAGACAATAGTTACCGAGGGTATTTCACTTCCTATAATTTAAAAGTTAAATACAATATTTTTAGGCAATCTAAAGAGTTCTTTTTTTTCAATATTAGGGAATGACATTGGTAATTCCCAAATAAAGAGGAAAACATAATTGGGATTTGACCCTACGAAATTCTCACCGGAAAACAAAAGAAAGATTTTTACAGAACAGAACTAACATCACTGAGACGACAATTCTCGCCGCGGCGTTGAGGTCCAACTGGACCTCGCCGGAGTACAAACATAGCCCGGCAACGGACTTGCACGGGGCGATCGAATGGGCAACTCACTCAGAAGGTTCCCGTCTTTATCGTAATAGATTACACCGGAGAAATCCAGGGGCTGACATTTATCCCCCATCAGTATCTCCTTCCGCCACAGCCCGTCGTTTCCGTGCTCACCGCCTTCTTCTCCCGTTCTCTTCATCCGGTGGCGCAACTTGATCGCTTTGTTGCTTATGGAGGAAATTAGTTTCTTCGGCGTCCCCGATGAGATCTTTGTATTGTTTTTCAACTTTTTTGAAGCTATAATCGTTTGCTTGGCGCAGAGAAGCAGAAGAGATGTTATCGATTGCAAAACGCCGGCGGAAATACGCTTAGACTTGACATCGCTGGAGCTACCGCCGTCGTTACCGAGTTTACTAGCCATGTCGGAGGAAGGGCTGTGATTCCATTACTTGGAGAATGAGGGTATATATATATAGGTAAGAGAACAACGAAGGTGACCGGCAATACCCGGTTATTCTAAAGGGTTTGACCGGAGTTTGAACATTGAATTTATTTCCTTTTTTCTTCTATAAACATTTTAGGAATTAATAAAATATATATTTTCCTTTTTAAATAAGGATTATGACTTTTATGCTCTTTCTATAAAAACTAAAAAGTATTAATTACATTTGTACCTAGTATATAAAAGATATAACGTGGCAAGTATACTTATATGTAATATACATATTAGCCTATAAGAAATAATAATATATAATAAACAAAGATATAAGCAGTTAAATGATAGAAATACCTCGAACAACAGAATCTATAAACGTGTATATAGAATGTTGTTTATATTGTATTTTAAGAATGCACATAAAAGGTTCTAATTAAACTAAAAATAAAGATAAGTAGATAACCCACCATTTTGGGTCATTATTTTTTTTTCATTAGACTGAATATTATGGAGGAGTACGTATTTTATCAATTTAAATTTCGACAACACATACCTAATAAAAATATAGAAGAAAACGTTTGTGTTTGCTACTTTGCTTCCTCGGTTCCTCCTTTTCATTTTCAAATGGGGATGAATAAATATAAAATAATGAACAGATAACTTAGAAATGTGATTCAAAAATGAATCAACACTTTAGAAAATTAGGTCAACTTCACTTGAATCAAATTGCCACAACTTCTATGGTGGTGGGTATCTCTATAATATTCCTCAAACCTCAGCCTTCCAATATATTATAGGTGTCACTTACCTAGTTTTTTTTTGGTTTATTTTTATTATTAATTAAGTAAATAAAATAACTGCCGAAGTTATGCTATTATATTATTTATAATTTAATAAAAAAAGAAAAGATAAAAATAAACATATTAGAAGTCCGACTTCCTAACAAAATATAACTTTTAAAGAAATATAAAATTAACTACATATTTTACAGTGGGCTTCTCTGTGAGTCTATGAATACAAAAAATTTAGACAAAATTTTACAAATGATGCTAAATCCTTTCATTTTTTTTTTCTAACATAATCCTTGTGAAACATTTTTTTTTTGTATAAATTTTTTTTTTGCATTTATACTCCATTTGGAGCAAACATGTACGTAAATATTTTATTATGAATGTCCATTAGATGGATCCCTTGAGTTTAAATAATTTTAGATAACTATTACTTCTGTCATTTTATGAAACTTGTCTAAGGACCATTTGTGAAATTTTACCCAATGATCATTTGTGAAATTTCAAATAAATCTATTAAATTTTGTATTTTTTGACAAAATTAAAAAATTTGAATCATTTCTCAATTTGTATGTGTCATCCTTGCGCAAAGGTCATATTAATCTTCTATGTATCGTTCCAATTTTATCGGATGTATTAATTACCATAAATCAAATCTTGTATTAATTACCATAAATCAAATAAAAAAAACATAAAACAAATAAAAAGGCAAAAAACTAAAACATAGAAAATATAATTTTTATATAAATAAAAAAACTACCTTACAAAGTTTAATCATCATACAAATATATTTTATTTAATATATAAATAACTTTTTTTGTCTAGACTTTATCATAAATTCAAGCTTATACAAATATATTTATTTTTATAAAAAACAATAGGATTCGTTATTATTTATGAAACACAAACCTTTTAAACATATAAAATATTTTTATTTTCCTTTAAATAAAATGAATTTGTTATGTCTCGATTTTCATAACAAAATTTTCATTTTTTATTTATTCAATTAAAATAGAGTGTAATTAAGTTTTGCGAAAAACATGATTTCAATGCGTGTGTAGAGTCACGTCTTGTCATTCTCACGATCCGGAGAAGTACCTGAAAACATTTGTAATCAATTAGGCAAACACGAACCTTAGTGAGTTCCCTAAAATATCATACACCACAATACATATACATGCATATACATAATGACCTTCAGTATAAAGCTGGTATGTCCCTTTTTGGCCTTCAACGTAAAGTTGGTCCGTCCCTTTTACCCTCACCACAAAGCTGGTTCACCCCTTTGTGAATATATAGGCTCACAACACTTAATGTTGATATTGCCATCAACTCACCCATTGGCCTTCAGTACAAAGCTAGTCCGCCCGCATCTTGGCCTTCCGCACAAAGCGAGAAAGCCTTAACCCTTAACAAATCATATTAACATATAAACAAATATCATTACAAGCAACAACCTAACAAGTCTATCGGTCTCATATCATATCATAGCCTAATGGTATACCTCATCCAAATAACTTAAGTATAATGACATTCAACACATAAAGATTATACTTTCTAATCTATTGAATCTTATATCCTAACATACATGGATATATATTGTAATCTAAGCAGTTATCACGGTCGAAATTTCAATAGCGGTCACATGCCGCTATTTGAAATCACAGTTATTGCAGCGGTATAGCGGTAGTCTAGCAATTTTTTAACATTATGTATAATTTATATTATATATTTATACAAAATTTATATATTAGAGTATTAATACTATATAGAATCAATATCATAAAAAGTCATATAAAACATAACATAATATATATATATATATATATATATATATATATATATATATATATATATATATATATATATATATTCTAATATAGTAATATGGAAACTAAAAAGTGTCAAAGTGTCATCGCAACTCAAGTCGTTCGTGGTTTCTAAGTACAACAAGAGACGAGAAAAAAATTGTCATTCGTTGCTTTGTAGCTTGTAATTAATTAGATTTATTATTTGGACTTATTGAAACAAAAAATGTAGTGGGGGAATTAAAAAAATACAGATTTAATATTGAAATAGCTCACAATCAGTTTTTTCTTTGTCAAAGTAGCCCAATGTGTACGAAATTGTAAAAGCGGGTGTAGCGTCGCTATAGTGTTGATGGGGTTCGCGGTAAATAGCGATCAATGGCGTCACCGCTATTCGTAAACACTATTTTGAAATAGCGGTTCAGTACCACCGTAAAACGCTATAGCGTGTCTATAGCATCGCTATAGCACGCTATTGATAACATAGATTTTAATACATAGTATAGTGATATAACTCACACATATAATTAATCCGATGAATATCCGTTATCCAACTGTTGATCCAACTAAGCGGGTAACGTGTCTAACAAGTATTAACCTATAATACTAGAATTTATTAATCTCTATGGCAGGCTGGTAATAAATACTATAATTTTCACTAATCCCAATGACTATCAAAAGTTCTATCAAATAAGGAACAACCATGTAAGATCATATCGGCGGTATGGTCCGTTTGGTATACAAAGTATACTGTTTGGGAATCTCACTTTAAACTCCTCACTAAATCTAGCCAAGATATCATTCTCGTAAGTAGATCAATCAGTATTATGAATGGAATCACTGATAATTCTTATTTATAGATTCATAATAATAACTATGAATATAAATATAAGTTACACTTAAAGCGTAGTAAGAGCAGCTTAACTTATAAAAATTTCTAGCGAAAACCGGAAAAGTCGTGGGCAGGACCTCGATATCGAGCATTTCTTTTTGCCCGACTCTCTGCCGCCTTAGAGCCTTATTGTGAATACTTCAGAACTCTAAAAACTCATAAATCTAAAGGGAGGAAAGGTTTCTAGAGAAAGAAACCTAAATGTGAAGGTGAGAAATGAAGGGGCCTTTAATTGCTATTTATAGAGGCTCTATAGGGTAGGCGCGTCGCGCAACCAGACTAGGGCGCGCTGCTCCTATGGGTAGGTAGCAGGTGTTGAGTATGGTGGGGTCACATGTCTGTTTCTGGCTGGTGTTGCATCACTCAAGACGGGTAAAATTGTGAATCTTCAAAAAATCATATATTTCGCATACGAGCTCCGATTTTGACATTCTTAATATTCACATGTAGTTATTGATGAGTACTATAACTTTCATTTAGACTCCATCGAATAGTTCTTATCCTATTTTAAATTTAATAATCTATGAATATTACACTGCAAAAGACCGTGTAAAATTCATAACTCCTTCACACGGACTCAGTTCTCGATGTTCTTGATATCGACGAATTGGTATTTATGAGATCTTCGACTCTCGTTTACATTGTTTTGGCTAACACGCAACCGATTTTAATTTCAATTTCTGTGTCGCATACTGTTGCACCAAAACTTCGAAAAATTATAACTTCTTCATACAAAGTCAAATTTAGGTGTTCTTTATATGCACGCTCTCAGAATTACCATTACTACGAATTTCATTTGGATCATTTAGACTAATAAGTAATATATCACAACTTTGAATTATATAAACAGACTTTTATATTTAATTCTACTATAAAGTGAAAATTGGGTGTTACAAATTTTCCTCACTTATAAATATTTCGTCCCCGAAATTCTACTCCCAGCGCACCTTAATAAAATTCCCAAACACTATCTTATTGTGGTACTTGAGGTCAATTCGGGACCTAACCAACGCTTCCACATTGATTTCACCTATCTACACTTATTTAATTATAGAACTTCGTTTTCTACCTTAAATCTATCCCCCGACTTCTTGCAAAGTCTCCCAAAATCGGGAACTCGTCAACCTGGACTTCCAGAATTTATACTTTATAACTGATAATCGCTCTCAGACGTAAATGTTGATCCATTCTGTAATCATGCCCTTGTAAAGGCATATGGTATACCATTTTGACTTTGTGTCCCATGATATTATGGTATACCCTTAAAACATGCACACACAACCCTAAATTGCAAGGGGTTTTCCTATTTAGTTCAGGTTTTCCAACATCATGAAATCTAACCACAGTTACTAAAGTGAGCTTACTGGTTTGAAAACTTCTAGAACCAATACTCTAGTACTGGTTACGGGCTCATTATAAAGCTCACTCATCTTTCAAACTACTAGATTATAATGAACACTAGGTCACAAATAGCCTTCTCGCAATGCTTTAACTACT